ATTTACTTCATCATTGCTGAGCTTTAATGATACCATAGTTTAGTCGGAGAAAAACAACTATGAAAAATTTTCTGGAAGATATTTTACTATGGGCAGAAACAAAAAAAAAGTATACTTCTTAGTCATTAGTGATCTTTCATTTTTTTCATAGGTTGTAAGCTTTAAGTTGTCTAGGTATAGCCAATTAGATGTGCAATGGCTTAATATATAGTATATATGCAGACAAAAAGGCAGGCAAAAATGCCATCTCTGTTACAAAGGGTCTCTACTTACGGTCTGTTCTATGCTGATTCTGCCAAAATGTCTTTATCTTTAAATACTGGCCAACATTATAAATAAGATTGATTAGAAAGGAATTAACTTTCTAATATGCATATAAGACAACCAAGTACATACACTCTATAGCTGCAGCATGTGCCATTTGTGCCCTGTTCTGGTTCCCACTCCTTTATCGTTGCTGGGCAAAGCACCTTCACTTCCAACAGCCAGTAACTATAACCGAACATCCAGTGGCTAGGAGCGACTCTTCCGGTACGTGGCCTACACCAGGTAATAATGTCGTTTCCTTTCAAAGCAGCCCTTATCTAAAGACTGACTCATCTGGCAAATACCTGGTTCTCATAATGCTTGGAAGGGGGAACTATAAAGTGCTGGCTAGAGCCTCCCAAAGCTTCCAGGTGGCATTAAGGTCAAGTTGCCCCAGTGGTTACTTGATTGACACAGTTTATTACTTTTCTTTCCTACCTCATTTTCCCACCCTCTTCTTGTCTTTAAAATAAGCCAGAAAAACTTCACTCATCTAAAAGCTGTATTTAATGATAAAGCCATTAAGGACACCATTTGTGAGGATCTGTCTAAAAGGGGGACCTGTAAACTGTTGTTTTTATTTCCTTATTGAGGGGATGAGATGAGAGCATTACCCCATAGCTTTACAAACACAGGGCTTGGGCTGAGCTCAGAGGGTTTCTATGTAGCTATCCCTAGACCTATGCCTGGAAGCTTCTAGCCTCCATACAATCTAATCTTGTGCAAGCCCCACCCTTGAAGGCTTCAGCTTTCAGCCTCAGTCTGCTAACCTAGACCTAGAATGTTTTCACAGTCTTCCAGACTTAATAAACTCATCAGTTCTAGTTCTTTCTGAATTCTCTGGTGCTGTTCTGGCTTAAAACTCCTCTCTAAGCTGATTGATTCAAACTGGCTTCTCAATGAATTGCTCTGCTGGGAAAAACTGCCTTTGAACTCCACAAACTGAACTGCAAGAACCCCGGAACAACTGCACAGAACTGTCTGTGCTTCTGAACTCTACTGTAGTCTCTCCACCAACTTTACTCTATTCCCGTACTGTACTGTCCGCCACTCAACAAACTCCCCTGCTCTCTTTCTCTGCCTGCCCTTAAGTAGCTTCTTTCCTCTCCATTCTTCTGAGTTGGGCATATCTTATGCCTGACTCATTCTGTCAAATCTTTCTCTCATTCGTCACTTGGTTTGCCCCCCCCCCCCCCAATTAGATGTTATCTTTGGGATTAAAGGTGTATACTAAATTCCAAAGGGATTAAATGTGTGTCATGTTTGTATTCCAATCAGAGGACTAAAGGTGTGTACTACTTCTTTGGATGTGATCCCTTGCACAGCCATGTTGCTGTGTTAAAATTCCTCTAAGGAGACCACTGGTAAATACTATAAACAAAAACACTAAGAAAAAAAAAAGGTACAGTTACACTATCAATGGAGATGTGCTGGCTCTGGTAGATAACCTGGAATTTGGGTGGAATAAAAGGAACAGCCCATCATGCCTGGCAGAGAATCTGGCATTTTTAAAGTTCTGTGTACTGACAGAATGCTTCGACTGGCTCTCCCTATCATCCTTATGAAGGGAAGATTCAAGACTCCTTGGCAGTCCTTACCTTGCTTCCACTGTCAAATGAAGCATGAAAAGCCATATGGAAACCCATGATATTGCAACTCAAGTATATATATATATATTGTAAAAGGAAACAGCAAACACATGTGACATGAAAAACCAAGATGGCAATACCAGGACCTAAAGTGCCTAAGAGGGGATGGGGCAGAGGGATGTTGGAGTAGATGGGGATGATTAGCCAAGACTGAGGATGTACAAAACCTTACAGGGTGGGAGTGGGGTGTTATGGAAAAGGGCAACTAAATTTCAACATCTAATTTGCCAAGGCTATTGCATGAGGCAGGTTTCCTTTTTCTCAGAGCATGATAGCCTTTTCAGTTTCTCTGGCTCAAAATTCTTCAAATTTACCTACCCCCTACTGAATCATTTCTAAGGGAGAAAATCTTCAGGGCCGGCTGAAGATTATGAAGAGCTCACCCTACCTCGAAGTGCTATGTGTTTTCCTTACTGCCTGAGAAAGAATTGCCAGAAGAGAGGGAAATAAATTCCTGAGGAAAGCAGGAGAGCAATAAACTGGAGGCTAAATAGATAGACCGGTATCCCTGTCATGAAGGAAGAGGTGACTGACCTTGCCAATAGGCAGCTTACTTCAGAAAACAGAAGATAAGGCAGCTCTTACAATTTGACCTTCGATGACTGGGTAGAAAAGGTGAGACAGGCAAGACTGGGCCAAATACCAGGTTTGAGAAGGATAATCAAGGTTCCTGTTTTTCCACTTTGAACCAGTGAATTTGAAGATGCTCATTTGTCAATGAAAGAACAATCAAATTAGCAGATGGATATGAGTTTAGAGTTTTAGGGACAGGTCATAACTGGAAACAGATCTGCAATCTTACATATATACTTTTTTAAAAGCAATGGACACAGGATGAGAATAGAAAATACTTGGATACAGAAAGGAATACACTCAAGGCAGACTAGATGCAAGCTAGGATTTAGAGGTGAGAGTTCAAGACCAGAAATTAAGTAGCTAGGAAACACAAAACCAATTCCTAGTGTCACATGCCAATGGACTGGGAGTGCTACAGACTGACAGCTTTCTGCCTAAAGCAGTGTTTCTCAACCTTCCCAATGCTGAGATCCTTTAATACAGCTTCTCAGGTTGTGGCGACACACCCAACCACAAAATTATTTTCATTGTCACTTCATAACTGTAATAATTGCTACTGTTATGAATTATAATAAAAACATCAGTGTTTTCCAGTAGTCTTAGGTGACCACCAAAGGGGTCTTGACCCACAGGTTAAGAACCACTAGCCTAAAGGGAACGATATATTGCTCCTCTTGGGAGAGGCAGAGTAAAAGCATATGGTCTCACTTTTGAATACAGTACAAACCAAGAAATATCATTAAAAAAAAAAATGCACAGGTGAGTTAGAGGAAGTAGGCTGCATGGCCCCTGAAATGGATGCTTAGACACGAAACTAAAGCTGATCTGCTTGAGAGTGGAGAATCCATAAAGAAAATCCCTATGGCTGTCTTTCCCCATTCTGTATGTTGCATGTTTCTGGTGATACACAAGCAAGCTCAAGACACCCAAGAATAGGGCATCCTAGGAAGAATCCCAGGATAGCTATCTCCTCAGCATGGTATCAGTGGGCTCTGTAAAAAAACTTCATTATATGATGCTAAACCTTGAGCATCTTAGAAATTTGGAAAAGCACTTGGAAGGTCAGTAAAAACAGCAACTAAAGAGTCTGAACAAAGGCACTGTAAGTGGAAAGGATATTCCCTGGAGCTGTAGGGGTTGCTGGAAGAAAATCAGAGTGTTAGGAGTGGACACATCTCTATGAGTTATTGTCACAGAAAGGCCTGAGTATCCATAAATTGCCAAGGCTATTGCTAGTGGTTGATTGCATCATGGACCCAGACAGTGGGTCTCTATTGCAGAAAACCCTGCATGCTTTGGCTACTGTTCATAGAGAAAGGAGGCTGGGACTCAGCTGGAAGCATTCATCCTGCGGGCTGGCTTGCCATACAGGAGCCGCTGGGGAGGAATGGTGTGTGCTACCTGAGCAGTACTGAAGTGACAGCCAGTCAAGACACGCCTACTGGAAGATGTGGCACTACTTTTGCAAAAACATCAGCTACATGCACAGGGTATTTATTCTGTCTAAATTCTTTTTTGTTCTTTATTCCATTCCATTATTTATCAGTTCTATTAGGTAGTCAAGAAAACACACCTTTATGTCCACAATTATTTTAAGGTATAGCTTTGTATTTCAGGTCACCAACTATTTTAGTGTCTGTTTACTCACTTATGCTAGCTAAAACTTATACTTAAAATTACTCAGGAATAGAATATAGATGAAAGCTAAGGTTGAGTGGTAGATAGGTGACATTGCATAGCTAAAAATATTCAAGACCATTCCTCAGTGTCACAGATAGGTAGGTTCAAAGTGGTACAAACTATCAACTCTGCCTAAAGGGCAGGACTTTTTCCCCTTTCAACTTGGTTAGTATGGATAATAATATTCTATCTTAATAAGTAATGCATTTAGGTTCATAAATATTTCTAAAAATGCCTTATATATTAGCATCAAAGAGTCCTTTATGCACTAGATTAAATCTCCCACTCAAGCAGTAGGAATGGCAACAGTAATAACTTCCAGAAACTGTGTTCTGTGGAATGAATGTTTGCAGTAGCTGGGAATACACACATGTTGCTAAAGTATCCTGGGCCCAATTTCCCCAATTTTAATGGAGATACGATTCTTAGAAGTGTGACCAAAGAGCCAATGGACTCTACCAAACAGTAAGAACATTATTAATGGTTCAAGAACTATGTGAGTTACAGAGATTTAAAATTAATACTTTAAAAACACGGGTTTTGAAGGGCCCCCCTTTTAATTTCAGTAAATGTTGCCTACAATATCAAAACACAGACGATATTAAAGTTTAATGTGATATAAAAGACACATCTTAGAAAACGGGACCTGGAAATCTGATGAATCCCAACTTCTAATTGATTAATATTAAAAAAACTTTTGATGTGGACTTTGACAGTATGTTTCTTGAAAATCATGAATATAAAATTACAGAATAGAGGCAAAGGATCAAGACATCTGAACCAAAAAGATTAGCTCAAAACATTTATTTACTTATTTTTTGTTATAAAAACAAAAATAAATCCAACCAGATAATGAAATAAACATATTCTTTAAAGTATCTCATCCGGGTTTCTCTGTCCTAGAATTTAGCACACAGTCCATGTTTAAGGTTCTTGCAACATTTCTGGATGCTATGAAGTCTCCATCTTGTAACCATGCTTTTCTAGCTCAGCACTGAAACAATACAAAGGACAGTATTAGTATTCTTCCTGACAAATCAAAAAAAGAAAACAAACAGTTATTTTTAAGATATAATAGATTAAGTAAGTTAAGCTTGGATCACTAGCTTAAAACATTGCAAAACAGCTTTATTTTATTTCCTAAAATAAAACCATAAGAAGGAAATTGGGTATCAGTCAATATAAAAATAAAAAACCTGCTTATCCTCTGATTACATTTTATATGCATTAATTTTCTCATATATGAACCTACTTACAGAATAAGTAATGAGGAACTATCTAGTATCCTCTAAAACCCTTGAAAATATTATCCTAAAGTCCTATTTTAATGTATATTAAAATGTAATTTAAATATTCTTTCAGACTTCTCGATTTGATGTGTATGAAGCTGCCTGGATGCGTGTCTGTGCACTCCTTACATGCCTACTGCTCACAGAAGTCAGAAGAGGGTGCTCCATACCCCGGGAATGGAATTATAAATGGCTGGGAGCCACCATGCGGGTGGCAGAAACTGAATCTGGGTCCTCCTCAAGAGCAGCAAGTGTGCAAACCAGTAAACCATCTTCTCCACCCCTAAATGTTAAGTTTTTGTTGGTTTGGCTTTTTGGGCAGAGAGAAAGGCTAAAATCAGTGGACACATTACTATTCATATGTATTTTTAGACACCAACAAAATTTTGAGATTTGCAAAGTTCAGATAAATATCAATATTTTACCAATTGTATAATCATCTCAAGCATAGCTGCTATATACAAGAAAGAAAGTAGTTCTTCTTTAACAAATGGTGTTGGGATGTTCACATGTAAAAGTAAGTTACACAATCATATGCCAAAATTCATTCAAATTTATCCAGAAAGACACAGGGATAATTTCATTATCTTGAATTTGGTAATGAGTTCCTAAATCTGATACCAAAAGTATAAAGTAACAAAACAAAAAATAAATTCAACCAAAATTTAAAATTTTGTAAATGAAATAACAAAGTAAAGGAGACAACCTAACAGAATATCTGACAAGGTTTTAATACCAAGAATATGCAAAGAAGTCTCACAATTCAACAAAAGTCCAATTTTAAAAACGGGAATAAGCTTAAACAGACTCTCCCTCCACTCAAATGTCAAGAAGCACACAAAAACATTAGTTAATAGGGAAATTAAAACTGAAATTACAAAGAGAAACTGCTTCGTAGTCATCACTTACAAGATGGTTACATTAAAAAAAAATAAACGAATGTTTTATCATTGCTACTGGGAAAACTTTTCAGTGATTATAGACAAGTCTGACAGTTCTTCAAGAAGTTAAGACAGAGAATTACCATACAACCCAGAAATGTCATTTCATAGTCCCCAAACCCTAAAGATAGGTGCTCAAATACATGCACATATTGTAAAATGGAAGTTTGTGGTTTCTATGAAGACTCAGTTTTATCATGTGATGTTTTCCTGCAAGCTGGGCACCTGAAGTTTTGCTGTGAGCTCTCTCATGTGAGGGGCCTAACTTTGGCCAGCTGAGAACATCCCTGGGTAGACTCTGAGAAGAGGAGCTATTTAGGGCCCACCGCCAACAGTGAGATCGATTTTTTGGATTGACAACTTCGTGTTCTGACACCTGACTTCCCAGAAAGAAACTTTCCAGAGAACTTCTCTAGGCAATCCAAATGAGCTCTTTAGCTGCCGCTGACTTGTGCTGATTCCTGTTGCTGCTTGGTGTTGGCCTTTGCACTGGACTGCTCATTCCTGACAACTGAGTTTGGTAATTCCCTAAAGATCCATCAACCCTAACCAGCAGGAAGTAGATAAAAGAGGTCTATGGCCCTTTTCTCTACTAACCTTCTAAAGTAGAGGATGGGATGGGGAGAGGGGTGTTGAAGGGAGGTAAAGGTGTTTAAGAACCCTAAATAATGCAGGTTTGGTGAAAAAAATCTAAGGAACATATGTGTTAATAACAGCACATTATACACAGCATATAAAAAGTTTAAATGTCCCCAAACTGGAAAACACATAAAATATGGCATTTTGTACATTACTGAGTTATAATGCACTGACATATGTTACCGTATTTCTGAATCTGGGAGAGATTATGCTAAGTGGAAGAAGCTAGATCCACAGAGCATATCTGAAGAAGCTAGATCCACAGAGCATATCTTTTATAATAGTATCTACATGAAATGTCTAGCAATTCGGGTGAATTTGTATGTAAATACAATAAATGGACTACTATAACTCCAATCTCCAATTCTGAGGATCAGTAATTGAGTAACCCAATTAGTTCTGATTCTAATTTCTGCCCAGTTAGACAATACTGGTTGAAAATAAATGTTGACAGGATCAAGTTAATGAAAAATAATAAACAAGCTTCTATTTAACTACCTTATTAAAAGGAACAAATATTCTTGCTTAGAAATCCAAAGGGTGAAGGGAATGTGTCTTATTTTACATAATGAAAGAATCATCTCTAAAGTTTTAAGAGGATAACTACCTATGGACGCTAGATATTCCATGTTTAAAATTAATACTGAGCTATAAAAAATCTGGCTGAAAACCTACCGTAACTGATTGGAGAAGTCATCTTCTACATTGTCATCATCCCAATTATCTTCCCAGACGTGTGCATCTTCATCTTCATCTAAGCCAGCCCAGTCTAAAAATGGAAACATATGTCTAAGTATTTTTCATGTTTTTTTCCACAAACATAAAAACTTCAGAGAATTTGCCATTAAGTATCCCAACAATTCAAAAATAAAACAGATAACAATATACCTAGTGAGAGCTGGAGAGATAGTGTTCCCAGGGGAAGCATACAGCAGCTGGTTCCTACCAGTTACCCAATACCAAATGGCTCTGAAAACATATGTGTGTGTGACACTATACAGATTGTGTGCATTGTATTCATGTATTAGGAACACACACATACACACACCACCACCACCAGAGAAAAAGGCCATGAATTTGAAGGAGAGCTGGGGAGGGGAAGATTAGAGTGGGGAAAGAGAAAAGGAAAATAATATTATAATCTCAAAAAATATTAAAAATAAAAGCCTAAAACATTCACACTACCTTTTTCACTTGTTCCTTTTACTTCAGAAAATTTAGTCTCCAAGGAGATACCACTTTAATCCTTTTCTTTTTAATGACACCAAACTATCCCAGAAACAGATGTATATGTCCCCAAACTCACGCTTAGGTTTACACAACTGCTATAATCCCGACAGACATACCACTAGGCAAGTTAAGAGATTTCTTTTTAATGCCAGAAAGCATGTCAAAGCTCACAGAAACTTCCTTAAGGGCATAACATATTGAATTAGGAAAAACAACAACAAAACCATGACAGTCTATAACAAATACTTGACAGAAAAAGATAATACAGTGATCTTTTACTAAGTTGTGATGAAGTTTTGCAAAAGATCACTAACCAGTATTAAAATTATAGAATGAAAAATGGGTGGATAACAGGACAGGTTGCTTACTCATTATCTAAGTTAACAAACAACATCACCATTACGCTAGAACAACATACTTCTTAATGTGTTTCTTAATGTAAGCAGTAATAAATATTCATCTCCTCTGTGGACCTGGGTAAAGTTAATTCTGAATCTATAAACAAATGAGAAGGTGAAACTTTCTGGCCTCTTCAACTAAGTTAACAATTCAGGGCCCAGGAGTGGCACCACCCACAGTGAACAGAGCCCTCCTACATCAACCATTAATCAAGGAAATGACACAGAGGTCTGCATACATGGCAATATGGTAGGAACATTTTCCCAGTTGAGGTTCCCTCTTCCCAGATGGCCCCAGTTTGTATCAAGTTGTCAAAAAACCAATCAGCAAGGCAGACACGGTGGCTCACACCTGTAATCCCAGCACTTGAAGAGGAAGAGGGAGGCAGATGCCTGTGAGTTCGAGGACAGCTTGGTCTAGAAAGAGAGTCCAGGGCAGTGGACAGCCAAGGCTATACAGAGAAATCCTGTCTCGAAAAACCAAAAAAGAAAAGAAGAAAAGAGAAGAGAAGCGAAAGAAAAGAAAAGAAAACGGAGGGGAGGGGAGGGGAGGGGAGGGGAGGGGAGAAAAAAACAACTTTGGCGAATACTGCCCTGTAGAAATTTTGATTATCACAATGTTAACAACTCCTTAGGAATAACATCTACCATATTTGTCTCTGTAATTCTAAATAACAAATAGCACTTAGCATATGAACGAGGTTATGAAAACACGTACAAAATATCAAACCACAAGAATAAGATCTAACTCTCTCTTTCTCTCTCTATATATGTATGTATACCCTACCCTTCATCCTAATCATGACTTTCCTCTTATTAGTAAGCTATTAGAAACACAGCATGTATAGGGCAGGGCCTACACAGATCTGCACCAGGTACTTTGAGCATATATTATGGATTCCAGTTTAGTTTTCTTATGGTAATCCTGAGTATGTGAACGAATGGGTCTCTGTTTTTGTGCCTTCTCTTGGGCTTTTTTCCTGTTTCTTTTGTCCAATTCTGAGGGTTAGTTTTTGTTTGACCTTATTTTATCTTAGTATTATCCCTTACAAGCTTGCTTGTTTTATAATGAGAGACAGAAAGGGAATGGCTTCAGATGGGAGGGGAAGGAAGGAGGGACTGGAGGGAAAACATAATCAAGATATATTAAGTAAAAAAAAAAAAAAAAAAAACAAACTATTTTCAATAAAAGGAGAAAAAGAAAAGAAAAACAGCTATGAAGATTTCAATCTTATGGCTTGGATCTGAATTATTGCATGTTTAAATGTCATGTTTAAATGTCAATAGCTTGTGGCACTATTCTGAAGGCTGTAGAACTTCGAGTAGGAAGGCCTGGCTGGTGGAAGTACTTCACTAGGCGTCAGCTTTGGAAGGTAGTCCAGTAAAATCATGGAACAGTGCCTACCTCACACACCAGGGGCCACCATGCTTTCCCTGCATCGATGGGCTGACATCTCCCTAAATCTGTGTAAGTGTAGAGAAACTAACACAAACTTCAGAAGAAAAATAAACTTTAAAAGCGTGATTTACGCTTTTTTATGTACATATATAGTTGACTCAAAACTATTCAACAGTGGCTCATAAGGGTATTTTATTCCAGTTACATACTTAAATTTTTCTGAATTAAGAACAGGAAAAGAAAATTACTTCCATTTATCTTGTTTGACAAGCCAGAAAAGAACAGAAACTTGGAAGACATTTTAGTTACTCTTCCTCTTTCAACTACCACATTCACAAGTTTTTCAATTTTAATTGCTAAATATCTTAAGTTACTCATCTCTTCCTTACACCTAATGCATCTATGTCAATTTGGCTCAGATTATTTCCCTCATGGACTCTCACTGTGCCTTTTACTGTTAATAACACTGAGAGAACTATTATATGAATTCTGTGAGGGAACTATTACACAAAAGGGTCAATAGATGCTAGGATCAAACTTTAAACACAACAGGAGCTTCAAAGCTGGAGACGTACGTGGCTCAGCATTTAAGTGCTTATAGTTCTTTCAGAAGACTCAAGTTTGGCTCCCGGCACCCATAGCTCACAACCACCTTTAATTCCATCTCCAGGGAGTCTGACACCCTCTTCTGACCTTCTGTGTGCACCTGCATGCATTTGGCATGCATGTGACATACATTCACATAGGCATATATACATAAATTAAAAAAAAAAAAAACAAAACTAAACTAAAACCTGGAGAGGATAGGAGCTCCAAAAGGACCAAATATATCTAGGCAAAGGGGTCTTTTCTGAGACTGATTGTCCAACCAAGGACCATACATGGATATAACCTAGAACCCCTGCTTAGACGTAGCCCATAGCAGCTCAGTATCCAAGTGGGACTGTCTCTGACATGAGCTCAGTGGCGGGCTCTTTGACCTCTCCTCCTCCCCCCCTCCCCCCCCCAGGGAGAAGCAGCCTTGCTAGGCCACAGTGAAGGACACTGTTAGAGTCAGATGGAAGGGGAGGAGGACCTCCCCTGTGAGTAGACTTAGAGAGAGGCAAGGAGGTGATGAGGGAGGGAGGGTGGGATTGGAAGGGAATGAAGGAGGGAGCTACAGCTGGGATACAAAGTAAATAAACTGTAATTAAGATAAAAAAATAAAAATTTAATTAAAAAACTGTTTTAAAAAGCTTGGTTTCAGACAGTAGATGTTTCTTTATATCCGTAAAATACCAATGATCAATATGATGGTTTTAATTTTTTAGTTAAAATTGAACAAAGCCGGGGCTGGAGAGATGGCTCAGTGGTTAAGAGCACTGTTTGCTCTTCCAAAGGACCCAGGTTCAATTCCCAGCACCCACATGGCAGCTCACAACTGTCTGTAACTCCAATTCAAGGGATCTGACACCTTCACACTAATGCACATAAAATAAAATTAAAATAAATTATTTAAAATAAATTGAACAAAGCCTTCAAATAATCCCGTTTTGTTTACAAAAATCTAGGTAACAGAAGTGACTTTATTATCCTTTACAGAGAATGAGCATTGGTTGATAATATTCCTCTCACTCTTCCATACTACCTGTAGTCTTACTGTACTATGTTCTATGGCCATTTAGTAATATAACTAGCCCCCCCCCCGAAATGGTAATACTGAACACTTCCTTACTAAAATTCAAAGGAAACTACTTTATTAAACTGCCTTATAACAAATTTAGGCTTTGTACTTGAAGTCTTTATAAAATGGTCAAAACATGACTATTTAAAAATTACTGATACTTGGAACTAGAAAGGGTCTTAAAAGATCACTCTACATTACCCTTTTTGGTTTGAGAATAATCACCATTACCACAATCAAAACCAGATGAAGAAAAGACTGCCTCACAAAGATACTAACTTTTTAAAATTAATCCCCTACCCCTCCAGTCTTAAAACTCTGGTTGTAAATATGCTGTTTGGCTAGAACACAGAAACAGGAAATGTCAAATAGCTGTTGAGATACTTTTAGGAATTTTTATAATCATACCTAAGGGAGTTTAAAGTTTAAAAACAAAATTGGCCAAACAATAATCTGAGTAAAGACTTTACACTATGTTTTTGAGAAAAGGGGGGGTGACATGTCAGTAAAACTACAAGGGAAGAATATATAAGGCACTTAAACATCAAGCCTACATAGTCAGCCGGAAACACTGCCAACTAAATAATTTCCTATTAAGTAAGCAGTTTCCATTTACACTGGTACCTAAAAAGAAAATGAGCATGTGTGGAAAGATGTAAGTTAAAAATATAAAATAATAAAAACATAGTACTTTTTGATAAAGCTTATGAAGTCTCTCAAAAGCACTGCAGAACCTTAATTGTCTTCTAAAGCAATTGCCTTTTTAGAAACACTAAAATTATAGGGTTCCAGAAACTTTTAATCCAAATTATTATTTGATTCAAATGTTGGTTTCAATATTGTTATTACTAGATGTCATTCAAATGTTTCCATGATGGCTTTTCTTTTAACTTTGTGAGAGGGGGAAAAAACTTGTTAATTTGTAACCAAATGCTTCAGAGAATCGCCAACAAGAAATGTAACTGAGTTGGTGATTTGTTTTATGAAGTGTGAAGTCTTAATCTGAAAGTCAAAATTCTTCATCTAAGTCTTAGTTTCCTTGAGATGGTGTGATTTCTAATGTTTCACACTAAATACAG